TGTTACTGGATGTGCCTTTATATGCTCAAGTGTATGGATATGCTGGATTCAACTCAACTGTGGCTTTTAGGATAGGCTAGAGAAAAGTCTCAAAATAGAAGATACATTTAACAACTTTGAAGTTGAGAATAGTTTAAGAAACTTTTTTTTTTTTAATGTTTTATTTATTTCTGAGAGAGACATCGTGAGTAGGGGAAGGTCAGAGAGAGAGGGAGATACAGAATCCTTAACAGGCTCCAGGCTCTGAGCTAGCTGTCAACACAGAGCCCGACACAGGGCTTGAACCCACGAATTGTGAGATCATGTCCTGAGCCGAAGTCAGATGCTTAACCAACTGAGCCACCCAGGCGCCCCTAGTTTAAGAAGCTTTTATGACTCTTGACTTTCCAAGAGAGAAAAAGAGCTTTGCTTAAAAATTTCTTTGTGAATAGTTCCACTTTACACAGAAATGAAGAACTTTTTTTTAAACCAGAGCATGCCAAGTTTAGTTGCCGTGTTTTGCTTTTAAAAACATTTTAGCATACCTGAGCATGTTTATAATTCTTCCATTTACATTGAAACTTCAGGTTTGTTTACTTCTCACATTGGTATAAAATAAGAGTAGCTTAAAATATACTGCATTTCTTTTTGTTTTTAATTTTAGAGCACATGTGCAAGCAGGGGAGAGGGACAGAGGGAGACAGAGAATCTTACGCAGACTCCACTCTCAGCAAGGAGCCCAACGTGGGGCGCAGTCCCATTACCTGGGATCATGACATGGACCAAAATCAAGAGTCGTACCTTCCAGCCGACTGAGCCACCCAGGCACCCCTATACTGCATTTCAAATCTTTATCCTTCAGGATATAGTCCTCCCGTTTAAAAATATCAAGGCTTTGATATAAGCTATGTCTAAATGTTCTAACGAGGGGGAGATACATGGTTTTATTCACAGACATTGCTTAGATAGTGAGCTTGGTTCCAGAGTTCTGCAAGAAAATGGATATCATGATAAAGTGAGTTCAGTGAATTTTTTGCTTTCTCATAAAGTTACATTTGCGCTGTACTGTAAGCTGTTATGTGTGCAGTAACATTGTCTTTTAAAAGTACATACCTTGGGGCACCTGGGTGTTCAGTCAGTTAAGCATCCGACTCTTTTTCAGCTCAGGTCATATCCTCACAGGATATGCATCAAGCCCTGTGTTGACAATATGGAGCCTGCTTAGGATTCTCTCTCTGCCCCTCCTCCAATAGGTGTCTCTGCTTCTCTCTCTCTCTCTCTCTCTCTCTCTCCCTCCCTCCCCCTCCCTCCCTCTTTCTCCCTCCCTCCCTCCCTCTCTCCCCCTCACTCACTTACATAAACTGTAAAAAATATATATATATACCTTAATTAAATAATACTTATTACTGAAAATGCTAACCGTCATCTGAGCTTTCAGCAAATTATAACCTTTTTTTTTTTTCCTGGTGGAGGATCCTGCCTTGATGTTGATGATTTCTGAATGATCAGGGTGGGGTGACCCTGATAACGTCTTAAGATAAATGAAATTTGCCATATTGATTGACATTTCCTTTCATCACCAATTTCTCTAGCCTGTCATGTTGTTTGATAGCATTTTACACACAGTAGAATTTCTTTCAGAATTACATTCAGTCCTTTTGAACTCTGCCACTGCTTTAGTGGCGAAATCTGTGTAGTATTCTAAATCTTTTGTTGTCAATTGAACAATCTTCACAACATCTTCTTTAGGAGTAGATTCCATCTCAAGGAACCATTTTCTTTACTCATCCGTATAAAGTACCTCCTTACCTATTAAAGTGTGATCGTGAGTTTACAGCCATTTGTACTATGGCTCTTTCTTTCACTTGAACGCTTACAAGCCATTGCTGGGTAATTGGCCTAATTTCAATATTGTTGTGTCTCAAGGAGTAGTTGGTCAGTCACGTTTTCAGGTTCCACTTTTGGTTCTCTTGTTGTTTCCACCACATCTGCAGTTACTTCCTCCACTGAAGTCTTAAAATCATCCAGAATTGGAATCGACTTCTTCTGAACTCCTGCTACTGTTATTTTGACCTCTTTGCATGAATCCTAGATGTTCCTAATGGCATCTAAAATGGTGATTGCGGAGCACCCAAGTGACTCTGTCAGTTAAGCATCTGACTATTGATTTCAGCTCAAGTCATGATTTTGGGGTCGTGGGTTCAAGCCCTATGTTGGGCTCTGTGTTGACGGTGAGGAGCCTGCTTGGGATGTTCATTCATTCTCTCTCTCTCCCTCTCCCTCTCCCCCCTTCTCCTGCTTGTGTGTGTGTGTTCTCTCCCCCCGCGCCCCCCAAAATAAATAACTTAAAAAATGGAGAGTCCTTCCATGAAGGTTTTCAATTTACCTTGCCTAGACTCATCATAGTAATCATTATTTAGGCCAGCTTTAGCCTTATGAAATGTTTTTTTTAAATAAGACTTCAAAGTGAAAATACTCCTTGACCCTTGGGCTACAGAACGAACGCTGTGTGTGAAAATAACAGTAATCCCATTGTCTATCTCTGAAAGAGTTCTTGGGTGACCAGGTGCATTGTCATTAAGAAGTGATATTTTGAAAGAATCTTTTCCTGAGCAGTAGTTGTCAGCAGTCGGCTTAAAATAGCCACAAAACCATGGTATCCACAGATGTGCTGTTATCAGGGCTTTGTTATTCCATTTACAGAGCTCAAGCAGAGTAGATTTAGCATATTTCTTAACAGTCCTAGGATTTTTGGAACAGTACATGAGCTTTGGCTTCAATTTAAAGTTACCAGCTGCATTAGCCCCTAACAAGAGAGTCTGCCTGTTGCTTTGGTGCTTTGAACCCAGCAATTGCCTTCTCCTCTCTATGAAAGTCTAAGATGTCACCTTCTAATGTAACACTGTTTCATGGATGTTGAAAATCTGTTGTGTAGTATAGCCACTTTTATTATCCAGATCTTCTGGGTAACTTGCTGCAGCTTCTCCATCAGCACTAGCTGCTTGACCTGGTGCCTTTCTGTTACATAAATGGTTTTTTTCTTTAAAGGTCATGAACCAACCTCTGCTAGCTTTATGCTTTTCTTCTGCAGCTTCACCCCTCTAAGCCTTCTTAGAATTAAAGAAAGGGGCTTGCTCTGGATTAAGGTTTGGCATAAGGGAATGTTGTGGCAACTTTGATCTTCTATCCAGATCATGAAAACTTTCTCCATGTCAGGAAGAAGGGTGCTTTGCTTTGTCATTTGTGTATTCACTGTATAAAAGTGTATACACTTTTAATTTCCTGCAGGAACTTTTCTTTTGTGCTCTTGGTTCTTTGGCCCAAGAGACCAAGTGTTCAGTCTCTCCTGGCTTATGTCATGCCTTCCTCACTAAACTGAGTTATTTCAAGCTTTTGATTTAAAGTGAGAGACATGTGGAGCACCTGGGTGGGTCAATCGGTTGAACATCCAACTTTTGATATGATCTCATGGTCAGGTTATAATCTCATGGTTTTTGAGTTCAGTCCCCACGTTGGGCTCTGCACTATCAGTGCAGATTTAGGATTCTCTCTCCCCCTTTCTCTCCGTCCCTCTGCCACTTGCACAGGTGTGTGTGCTTGCTCTCTGTCTCTCACTTTCAAAATAAATAAAAATTTAAAAAGGTAAATAGATGTGCGACTCCGTCTTTCACAAGGGTTTTTATCTTAGTTTCAGTATTGTTGTGTCTCAGAGAACAGGAAGTCCCAAGGGGAGTGAGGGAGAGGGGGAGAGAGAGAGGGAGAGAAGAGAGAGAGAGAATAAGTAATTGGTAAAGCATTTAGAAAACACATATTTATCAGTTAAGTTCAGTGTCTTGTGTGGGAGTGCTCTGTGATGCCCCAGAGCAATTATGTTAGTAACATCACAGTTCTTCACTGATCATAGATCACTATAACAAATATAATGTAAAAGTTTAAAATACTACGAGAATTACCAAAACTTTACAGAGAAGTGAAGTGAGCAAATTCTGTTGGAAAAAGGGCAGCAACAGATGTACTCGGCACAGGATTGCCATAGACCTTCAATTTATAAAACGCAGTATGTGTGGAGCACAATAAAGTGAAATGCAATAAAACAAAGTATGGTTGTATGGCATGTAAGATATGAAGAGTAAGCTTGTCTTTTCTGTGTTGGCTTTGTAAAGCTATAGTGTTTAAAAACATCACTTGGAAATTTGGAAATTTTATTAAAAATAATTACTTTGTGACGGTGCCTGGGTGGTTCAGTCAGTTAAGCATGTAACTCTTAATTTCAGCTCTTGTCATGATCTCATGGTTCGTGGCCTTGAGCCTCATGTCAGGCTCTGCAGTGACAGCACAGACCCTGCTTGGGATTCTCTCTTCTTTGCCTGCACGTGCCAGTCTCTCCCTGCCCCTGCCGCAAAAATAAATAGTTAAATAAGTAATTACTTTGTGTCATTGTAATATTTATAGTTTTGAAAGCATCAGGAAAAAAATCCTTTGGCGTTGATCTAGGACAGAAGATGCGCTATGATATCAGTCTTTTCCATCTCTAATTGCATTGATTTCCTTCAACGCTGTTTTACAACGCAAATATTAAAGCATTAGCTATATTTTCGCTGCCTAGAATAATTGGTTTTACTTTTTAAACATGCTGTCTGTAATTTCAAAAACATACTGCTTTCTGACCTTCCTCGTCCTGAGGAGTTTAGAATAGTCTTGAAATTACAGGCGTCTAACAAGTATTTCTCAGCTGTCAATTCAGCTGCAGCCTTTGCGCTCTTACCTCATTAGGAAGTGACATAGGAAGAAAACTCGTTATGTGATAATATGAAAACACATATTTGTCAAAAAGATAAATGAGGCTGTATTGAAAACCCATCTGTTGCGGAGGGGGTCAAGTGGTTTAGACACATTTGGGTGTGACACTTTCTTTTTATACAGGAAAACAGAAGACTTCTCTTTCAATCCTTAGACATTGAATTGTGCACTTAAATGTGTTTTTTTTTGTTTGTTTGTTTGTTTTTGTTTGTCTTTTGTAGGTGATATTATACCCAACTTCTAATAGCTCCAAGTCAGCTGAATTGCACCGAATGATAGTTCCCAAAAATAGCCAGGACTCTGACTTAAAGATCAAATTAGCAGTGCGAATGGATAAACCACCACATATGAAACATAGTGGGTGAGTGTGTACTTGAAGATGTTTTTCTCCTGAATTATTGGATTTCATTTCAATGTATCACTTTTGTCAGTTTACCGACAGAGAAGGTATATCATGAAATCCCCCCCCCCCACAATGACATTTACAGGTTTACTTAATTTTTTAAACTCCTAGATGCTTTTATAGCTAAATACATGTGTATTTTTACTGTGTGCATGCTAACATAATATTGGTAATTGATTGCATTGCTATTCCATATCACGTGTCAATGAAGAGCAGTGATAGATGGAGATCACTTCTAAGACATACTCTTCAGAATATAATAATAATAATGGAAACAAGCATGGCATTCAGCTCTCCAATAGCTAAACTTACATAAAATATATTAAAGCTAAAATGCCATTCACATATAACCCAGGAGACGGTGAAAGGTGTGTCTGGGAGGGATGTGAGTGTTCATCCAGTGTGTGAGGGAAAGACTAAACCAATGCTGGAGGGCAGGCCAGAGTGCAGGACCCCTCTCCTGTGGACCACCATGGGTCACAGCAACCTTCTTCATCTCTGCCAGGGCTCCTTTTTCCCTGTAGTTGGTGAGGTAATAGATCTGAACTCTTGAATACAATAAAATGAGGGTTGTTTTTTTTTTTTTTTTTTTTTTTTAAAAATACCTAGGTCTTGCTCAGATTAACTCTGTAGAACTCACCACGGTCAAATCCCAGCACAGAGTTGTTAGCTATTCGGAAAGCATGTGATCTTTTTTCACAAGGGAGAAAAGCAGTCACTCAAGTGGCTCCGCCTGAGATAAGCAACCAACGTGAGTCTAAGAAAGTACATTCCTATACGGAGAGGTGTCGTCTGCTGGCTTTGGAGCCAGATCACCAGCACTGTAGCAGAGGTCACTGAGGGGTCCACAAGATAAGGATTCTTTGGATGACCAACACTGGACTGAGGACTACATTGCTTCCCTGGTTTGGATGGGCAGTTTATGCAGTGTCAGAAGGAGTCTCACTGACAGGAAAGACCGCTCAGAGGGTGGGCTCTTTGGAAGGAAACCATAATTTGGGTATTTCCCATGACGGCATCTTCAGTACAGTGTTGCAAACTAGAGTCTGACTATGACTCTGCTCATGATGTAGGTGGAATTTGTGGGATTTAATATTTTGAGTTCTTCTTTCTCATCCGTCCATCTCCCTACTCACCACTGATTGATTTAGCAGGCATGTACTGAGCACTTACTCTCTTCCACCCAGAGCAAACAGTGAGACACCATCTCAGGCCTAAGGGAAGTGGCTAGTCAAGGATTCAGGCTTGTGTACAAGTAGCTATAATAGTGATGTTAGTCATAAAAATCCCACAAGACACCTGACTTTTTAGATACAACTTGAAGCATGAATTCAGGTGGGTAGTGAGGAGGAAGAGCATCCCAGTCACATGACCTAGCATATCCATAGCCAAGAGTTCTGAAAGGGCTGTTAGCCAATGAAGACAAGTTGGGTGCAGTTAGCATAGAGTGCTTTGAGACAAGAGAGTTAGAATACTACTGCCCTAAAGTGCTTAGAGAGTAGTAGAGCCTAGATTTAGATAAAAAGGAACATAATATATTTCAGGCACTGCAGTTCTCTCTACTATTTTTGCATCAGTCTCTTTTGATGAATGGCACCATAAGAAATTAGAACCTATGTATTATAACTCCAACAGAGTCCTTAATTTACAAATGTCCAGCACCATGGTGAATACCCCTGGAGCCTTCCAGTTGTCCCAAGAACCAGGATTAAAATGAGGTTGGGCACATGGCAAATTCTGTATCTTTTCACCTCTGTGGAAAGAAAGCCCTGCTCTCATCTTTGGCAGTTTCTTCCTTTAGAATGTTCTAGGGCAGATCGGACAATCCAGCCCCCTCCCAAGACTTGATTTGTTGTTGTTTGCTTTTCTTTTTTCTCTTTAATCACTTGTTTGCACTTAAGAAAAACTGGTTTATATCCTATCTCTGAGCCCCTGACTAAATCAGGACCCCCCAGATGTTTCTGGAGTTGACATCTGTCCAAGACTCCTGGTGAAGGGGATCACTACAGAGAATATATCTTAGTCTCTCAATTTAATATATCAAGCCCCAGAACTCACCGTGAATTCAAATGAGGAATGCTTCATATCTATCCACATCAATTATCATGTCCCATTCCTAAACAATACCAACAGACATTACTAGATACTCAGGTGTCTCTGCCGTAGATAGTATGTAAAAAGAAGGAATTCTAGAACTGAAATTATCAGTGAGGCTATTCTCCTAGTTGGAATGCTATGCAACATAATTAAAAATATCCTATTTCATAATAATGGTTCCCTAAAAACTAATTTAATACCAATATTGGACATAAACATAACGATGATCAATCAGAATTCAAGGTTTTCAACATTGCTATGAAAGTTTATCCCCATGGCCAAGCACGGATGCTGACTACAGATGCCTGTTGGGTTCCTCAGTGCTTATGGAAACACCCAAATGTTTTGAATATCACCTTTGTGTATGTGGGCAAACATGATTTGACCTACCTTATAACTATATTCATCTTTTTCTGCAGCATTTCATACATGGATTTTACTGAACCTAATTACATTTAAGAAGAGAAAGTCCACTAACCTTTTTCTTCCAAGTACTCTATCATATGCCAAAGCGATAATAGGATATGAGTAGTAGATTAATAGCATTTTGCTTTGGGGCTGGATTGTGTTCTGTCAATAATTCATCCTATAATGAATAATTAATACATGAATAATGAATAATTGAAAAAGAAACGAGTCAAGTTTAAAAAAATTAATTTATCTTTAAATTATGGCAAACCCCTCTTACAGAGAGTGTTGTCAAGTGGATTAAACAGTAAATTGGGAGGGTTATGGGTTTTTATTTTCAAAGCACTTTGAGAACTAGACTTTGAAATCCCCTGAGTCTTTAGTTGTAAAAAAACCTTTTGGAATTTTTAAATAATATGGGTATCTCTTATGTGAACTATTGGAACATAAAAATAGATGAATATTCATCACGTGTGTACAGCACCTGTGTGGTCCCTAAATATTTTATCAATGTTTTTTTCCATTTTTTTGTATCCCTAACCAACTGCAATAGGTAAGAAACTCCTACCTGTTCGAATCCAGTGCTCCCCATGGTGTGCAGTCAGGGATAGATATTAATATAGTGATGATGGTGAAAATAATAGTGTGTTTCTTAGAGTTTTAGGGGAAAATATTGCAATAAGTTGCATTCCTAAGTTGAAAAGTAAAGAGTCCTGAACACCAGTTACATAAATTATAATTTTCATATGAAAAATACCTAATGGGCGCCTGAGTGGCTCGGTTGGTTAAGCATCTGACTTGACTTAGGTCATGATCTCGCAGTTCATGAATTCGAGTCCCACATCGGTCTCTCCACTCTCAGCGCACAACCCGCCTCAGATCCTCTGTCTCTCTCTCCCTGCCCCTACTCTGCTCAAACTCTCTGTCTCTTAAAAATAAACAAACATTAAAAACAAGAAAAACACATAAAATAAATGTGTTTGGTTCTCAACTGTTGCATTTAAATAACCTTTTTTAAGCAGTAAAGTATATCTGATCTAAAGCTTATGTTTCTGATAACTAATGAGTCCATGACTATACGTTGTAGTTTTTTTTAAGTAGTATTGACTACATGCAAATAAAAATACATTTAATTTGGATAAAATAAAGATGATTTCATTCTTTTAAAACCAAACTGGGCATTACCAAATGACATTTGATTTAAAAAAAGAAAAAAAAAAAAAGACTCATTTATTCTTTTGGAATATATTCCTATAAACTAATTATGTAAACTCATATAAATCTGTTAAGTGAATTACCAGCTAGGTTTTGAGTGGTTAAATAATTAATATCCATTTTTTACATTTATTTTCCTGCTTTTTTGGATAGCTGGAAGACAGAAGTGTTCTAGAACAAATGGACTATCCTTTAGCATAGCCTAGTGGCAAAGTAACGGTATTAACTCAGAAAATGCTACTTTTTTTTTTTTTTTTTTACTAAGTAGCATTTTCTTAATTCAGAGTTTATTTTTGCAATCAAAAGACAATAAAATGGAGCTAAATAAAACAAATTATTTATTATGGCAATTAAGTCTGCAATGGAAAAGGAAAAAGATGAGAATTAAATTGCCACAAATATGCAGAAGCATAAGACCAGAGTCTGTCTATCCGAGGTCTGCGTGCACCTGTTTCTTTTTTGTTTTGTTATGTTGTTTTTTTAATAACGAACATGAATGAAAACTTGATGCGTGTCTAACCATAGGAGAGTTTTGTCGCAGTTAAGAGCTGGTAAGTTCAGAGCTGGTAAGATAAAAGATTAGCCAAATCACTGCCCTATAAATCTCCTGTTTCTCTTTGTGCAGAGTCATGCTTGGCTCTTCAAACATTTGGGGATCAAATAGATGTATCAAAACATTTTGTAATTGTCATTTATAAGTCTCTGTTTAATTTATATCCCCAAAGTTTAAAAGGCCCCAGGTCTGCTTCTTGCTGCCAGGAGAGACCGGAGTTGGGATCGCAGCAGGAAGAACAGCGTGACCACCAAGCTGGCCACAGCCTTGATATGCCAAGCTTTCCCATAGGGCCGGCAGCCACGCGCTCAGGGGCTACCGTGTTAGGCTGTCAGACGTGGCATTTGCTCTTAACGTGAATGGACTGCACTGTAATAAAATTGGATTGTTTATGATTTTAAGGTTTATGATCTTCAGTTAGTTTGGGGGATAGTCTGATGATCAAAGGGAGGGAAAAAATCTTACGTATGTCAAGATGGCATTTGCTTTCAGGGTCCAGGCCTTACAGAAAGGACATGTCTGTTTTTTCCCTGGAAAAAAAAAATTCTCATTTTACGTTGACCTTTTAGAATGATTTTCCTACATGTCCTAGTCTAAAATAGCCATGTTTTGACATTTGAACCTTTACATAGGTCTATTTGCCTTCCCAATTTGAATTTACCTCATTCAGACTTACTCTCATTTT